CTTGCTGGAATACACACAGAACTAGAACAACATCCAACAGTCAACCCTCTTAGATCGGCCAATAAAAACCCAATGTTCCTGTTAAAAACCCAATGTTACTAAGAACTCTGCAAAAGGTTGCCATAGCAGAGTGTTTTCAAAAGCAGACGGAGTAACACTCATGGTACCAGGCAAAGAGAATGGCCTCTCTCTATATTGAGTGCAATTTTCTCTCAAGGATGGCACAAGCACAATAGCACCGGCTGGCTGCTACATCTAGCTTGGCTGGCCCCAAACTCCTCAGCTGGAGGAGAATCTAGTTTGTTTCAGCCTAGCAAAGGTGAGTGAGTGTTGCATTGTGTGTGTGTGTGTGTGTGTGTGTGTGTGTGTGTGTGTGTGTGTGTGTGTGTGTGTGTGTGTGTGTGTGTGTGTGTGTGTGTGTGTGTGTGTGTGTGTGTGACTGTTGCAGAGTAGACATCCACTACTTTTGACCAGAGCCCTATTGACCCTAGTCAAAAGTAGTGCACTACAAAGGGAAAAGGGTGCCATTTGTGACGTATCCACATAATCATTCAGGGCCAAAACTACTCTCCACTCCTGTCACCGTGGATACAGTTGGAACGCAGATTCTGTTTACCACGGCATCATGTTCACAGCTTCAAACAATGCACTTAATTCTGCTCACACGTCAAGGTGAAGACAGAACCAGCTTCAAATCAGCCCGGAGTCTGACTACATCACCTCACAAGAATGAAATAGGATTTGTCCCAATTTGCACCCTATTCCCTTTATAGTGCACTACTTTTGACCAGGGTCCAAAAGGCTTTTATGTTCCTCCATCTCTCTCAGCATCTACCCTACTGAGACAGGAATCATCATTAATCCCTGAGTAAAACGATGATGTTATACAAGAAAGGCTATCTCTCTCCAGATTATTTATGAGTTAGAGCGGGACCATAGGTGTTTCCATTTCCTTGATAGAGAAGTCACATCATAGACAGCACCAAGGTATCAATCAATAACGTCCTGACTCCCTTTCAGACTACTGCACCTATCGGCCAGGGCGAGGGGGGAGGGGGGACAGAGAGGGGGAGAGAGAGAGAGTGGGACAGCGAGGAGGTAGAGAGAAAGAGGAAAGAGGGGGAGAAAGAGAGAGGGGAGGGGGGATACAGTTGGGGTGAGAGAAAAGGAGAGTGAGAAGGGGGCGCATAGAGGGGGATAGTGAGAGGTGGAGAGTGAGGGGTTCTACTTGGCTGTCAGCCCTTCCAATCACCTCCCTGATGAAGACATCTGATCCAGTGGTGGTAAACAACTGGATCTGTTTTCCATTAGGGTTATTTTGGGCACACTTTCCATTTTTTCCTATACTCTGAATGCTAAACCCATGCCAAGGAGAGAGAGAGAGAGAGCAAGAGTTTTATATTTAAGCTGTTTGCTTCGAAGGGTTAATGTAAAGCAGAGTAATTCTACCATGTGCTGCCTGGCTGTATGTTGACAGCACAGCATTGTCATGGTGAATCTTCCCTGGGAGCAGTGTGTGTCTGTGTGTGTGTGCTGTTGGGAGCGTAGGTCACGTGTGGCTCAGTTGGAAGAGCATGGCGCTTGCAACGCCAGTGTTGTGGGTTTGATTCCCATGGGGGACAGTACAAATAAATAAAAGTATGGAAATGTATGCATTCTACTGTAAGTTGCTCTAGATAAGAGTGTCTGTTAAATGTAAAAAATGAGTGTGTGTGCTGTTTTTTTTTTTCTCACATCAGAGAGCGCGTGGAGCAGCCGAACGCCCTGGTTGTGTTGGAGGCATGGTCTGTGTGCCAAATCGCACCCAACAGTAGTGCACTATATAGGGGGAATAGGTTGCCATTTGGGACACTACGCAGTCAGTTTATAATTGATTCCACACCAGCGGAGCCAGCTAACATTACAAATCGTATCTCATTTTGTCAGAAATCTGTTTGCATTGCTAGTTTAAGCATAGCTAGTCAACCTTAAACCGTGTAGGCTACTACTTTCACCACACTACCTTAACCATTCAGTTTAGCACATGGCCTCACATGAAAACCTAAAGAGATGCGTGGGGCTAAGACTTAAGAGGGTGTGAACAATGCTGAATGGGCGTACTCCAAAAAGAGCTTGAGAGCAAGTGTGGAATTACACGTTTTGCCCTATTCAAATAAACATAACTTTCCTATGTTTCCCCCAACTGCAGTGTATGATATACCATTTGAAGCTCTGAGTCTGTACTTTTATAAAATGTACAAAAAAGCCAATCTTGGAAATGGTACATAAGACTCAATTGGGAAATGTAGTCACAAATGACATAAAAGTGAAGATATAATTGAGGCCCAGCGGTGGAGGGTTTTCTCCTTAAATGTAATCCATATTGAAAGTCACTGAGCTCGTCACTAAGGCCATTCTACTGCCAATGTTTGTCTATGAAGATTGTATGGCTGTGTTCGATTTTATACACCTGTCATTAACGGGTGTGGCTGAAATAGCCGAATCCACTGATTTGAAGGGGTGTCCACATACTTCTGTATGTATGTTTAGTGAGTCAGCCAGATGAGAGGCAGTAGGGATGACCATGGCTGTTCCCTTTATGTGTGTGAATTTGACCATTTTCCTGTCCTGCTAAGCGTTCAAAATGTGACGAGTACTTCTGGGTGTCAGGGTAAATGTATGGAGTAAAAAGTACATTATTTTCTTTAGGAATGTAGTGAAGTAAAAGTTGTCAAATATAAATAGTAAAGATGCCCAAAATAACTACTTAAGTAGTACTTTAAAGTATTTTTACACCACTGATCACACCACTACTCCGGGCTAGTAGTAGTGGGTAAATGATTGCTATTTCACACCACAGATCATCGCCTTTGACTTTTACAATGTCTGAATACAGAGTTACATGTTATATAATCATTTTTCAGTCAAAGTTCATGGATGTGTGTTAAATGGATGATCATTTATTAATTTTTTGGTCATTTTTGTGAAAAACCCTTTTGAATTTTGCATGACGTCAGTGGCCTAGTCAAGGAAGCATCATGCAAAATATATTGGCACACTCCACTTAGACCATGGGTAACAAATTAAACCAAGCAGGTGGGGATGGTTTAACAATTTGCCTCTGGTGGCCAAACTGACCTGTTGAACATATGCGATTGGATGGTGGCTCTACCGTTTGTCAGATAGGTTGATTCGTTAACGGATATAATGATCTGCTCAGCTGGGCATCCTCAGCATCGTGGCTAATTTGGCCAGGTTGCCCTATGAGAAAAACTAGCAGCTATCCATTTTAGATCAAAGGTTTAAACCATGGTCTAAGCAAAAGTTCACAAGTATGGCCCCTCCAAACAATACCCTTTCTCAAATATACACACAAAACCCACTATGACATGAGTAGTTTAAAAAACGACCAACGTTTTATTCAGATGTTGATTTTTAGCTTACACACCCACCCACACACGACCATGACATTCACCCGACAAAAGACAGCGAGCCACATAATCCACATAATGCCCTGGGCTTTATTGTCTTATTTTATTGTGAGAGTTCGGTCACTTTTTTTCTTTAAAAAAAAATTATATTTTCAGCCTCCAGGTGGGACAAGAAAACCAAGGACAAATCTTGCCATTGGACTGGGCATTCAGATTCTGACGACATAGACAAGAAGTACTACTAGTAGCACTGTCTTTGTGCCTTACTCTTCACAGAAGAGAGCACATAGTTCCCCCAAGGGAAGGCACCCGATACTTGTGGTTTTTGGCCTTGCAGCCTTCTGGGGAGAAAAGAGAAAAGCAGCCTTTCTCCATTAGCTACTCCCCTTTCAGATTTTTAATTATTGTCAGGAATTGGAATGATGATACATGTACAGCAATTTTAACTGCCATTCACCACCCTTATAACCTATGTATGAACAATTAACAAAATAATGAAGTCTTTCAATACGAAGAAGCTTACAATCATTTTTTACCACAAGAAAAATACAAAAATAACAATTCTGTTAACAAAAAAAATGTATTGTGTGGGGTAAAACAAATATGGTAAGGGGGGTGGGGATCCCATTGCATGAAAACTGGGGACCACAATTATACAAAAGCAGCATTAAATATCAATCAAATCATTAGAAAACAAACAAAAACAATAGTGCTTTGAATCAGAAGCAGCAGGAAGAGACTTCATCCCTAGTTGTGTTACTTGTATCGGGATAACAATGTAAATGGAAGATCCCAGGAAGAGATTTAACCCCGCGAAGTAAAGTGAACCAAAGCAGACCTTCTCCTCTGGCTCCCCTCATCCCCAAAGAGTATCTTTATGTCACCATTGAATTCCATATGATCCAAAGAAGTGCAGGGACCCAAAAGGGGGAAAACCTGCTTTGTGTTCACAATATACAAAATACCCAGGAGTCCGTAGCTACCTAACATTTACTACAGCACAGGAACCAATGAAGGTACAGTGTACAAATAAACAAAAGAAAAAACTGTAAACACAACACAATAAATAGATAAAACTCTGCAACATGCAAGTGATGAAACGTCTTATTTTGAAACTTCTCATCTATACAACTCACATAAGTTTATCGCTTTTTTCTTTTCTTTTTATTCCCAAGTGCAAAACATCACAAATGAACAAGTTTCTGTATTCAAGTAACGTATATACAAGGGGGTATTAGAAATATGTAGTTACTGTACAGATACTAACTTGCCATATTCATAATTTGCAAGATGACAATTTTTACTCTTATTAACAGTAACGAATACAAAACATTTAAAAAGCATGAGATGAGAATTGCAACCATAAGTCCCCACAGTTGCCATGGAAACGTGTCTGTCCGTACTACATACGTAGTCCGTTGTGTGTGGAGTCCCATCTGCTGCCCTTTTTGCATTCCCAATGCTACGATGCACAGCACCTAAAGAGTGAGTGGGTAGCAGGAGACAGAGCAAAGAACTGGTTGGGTAGCCTCGTTGGGTAGCGTTGGGCCTGGCCTGCCCGTCATGGCAGCTAGCTGCACCACCACTCTGCTACGTCACCTCCATGGCCACTGTGTTGTCCGTTATACTGTTCAGAGCTGGCTTGTCTTGATTGGGATTATCCCTGGAGGAGGAATACAAACAGTGTCAAACTTTTGTTGTAATACACAGCTCCCACTCAACATTAGGCAATCAAGACATGGCACCCTATTCCATATATAGTGCACTACTTTTGACCATTGCCCATAGGGCACTACATAGAGAATAGGGTACAATGTGAGAGACATGCATAGTACATCAGTCAGAGTATATCAACTCATCTTACCTGGATCCCATGTCCATGGTAGAAGCCCCGGTGACCTTGTTGGGCATCTGACAGTTGGTGTTGGCAGTCATCTTTAAGGCAGAGGAGGGCACGGCTCCCAGGGCCATGGGTATGTGGTGCGTGGTGGTGCCGCCAAGGCTGGGGAGGGCAGGGGAGGAGGAGGGCACGCTCAGACGGATGTTATTCCCAATCAGGACCTGAGTGGTGGTGGGGGAGGAGTTTGCAGCATTGTTACCCAGGTGGGTGTGATAGGCGTTGGGAAGGGATGTGAGAGAAGAGGCCGTGACGGGGGACGGAAAGGTAGAGGAGTGGTTGGATGAGGGCTGGAGGAAGGTGGGGGTCGATGGAGGAGGGGTGGGAGTCTGGTTGCTGTTGGGGTGATGGGTGGTGCTGGCCAGGTGTAAGCCCTTGTACACTCCTGAGAGAGATGGGGAAAGACAAAATACATTTATAAGAGATACATTGAACACTTCCTCAATTGAACACTTGACTTGCAATGACTGATATGTGGTCGACAAAGTCACTCTGGATAAGAGCGTCTGCTAAATTACTAAAATGTAACTCTCCAGTCCCATCTATTTCATTGTATTCATTGGTAATCTGCTATGAAGTGAACTACAGATCAGCGGTGCTGCTCACCTGAGCCTGGGAGGACCCCGTTGACTCCACTTCCCAGAACCCCCTCCTCCTTGGCCTTGAAGGCCATCAGCTGGTCCGTGGTCACCAGGGCAGAGGCAGCAAACTGGGCGCTGGCAGAGTCTAACGTCTTAGAGATTATACACTGGAGGGGAGGGTGGACAGAGAGACCAAGTCAGACATTCTACGTACCACTGAACAAACAAATTGTCAAACCGTGAAATCAGTGGTTTTTCTAACATCTTTTAGGAGGGCTAGAGAGGGGGGCCTGCCTTGCCTTTACAATGGTAGGGGAAACGCTGGGTGAAATACACAGACAGGGCTATTTTGGAGCTTTTGGAGGTTTGTGTGTGTAAAAGAGTGGTGTCTGACCTGTGTGTTGGGTGGTGGTGCTGAGGATGTTGTAGTAGTAGAGGATGTGTCTGTGTTGGCCTGCGGCTGTGTCTGTTGCTGCTGTTGGATCTGCTCCAGCTGCTGTTTCTGCATCAGTGCCAGCTGCTCCTGGTGCTGCTGGTACTGCTCTGCTGTGAACGCTACACAGATACAGGATAACAGTGTTATAACACACACAAGGGTTATACACACACGGTCACAGGAGAATGAATCGTTTTGAGGTGATATGCAGATCCTATATTTCTCCACCAGTCATAGATAATAAAGCAAAGAAATACCTGCACAGTGCACACGGTAGGCTATATGCCACTCCCATGCCTTATTCCTGCACCCACATATACACAACGTTTCGGCTGTTATCGCCAAGGCTGACTGACCTTGTATACCTGTAGCTTGTCATCTAGATCAACATTCAATATCTTCACCAAGCTGGTGAGTCCTAATTTAAGCCATTAGCATGGCTGACAAAAGACATCAAAATAGCTAGCCTTCTATGATGTCAGAAATACATTTTCCAGTGGTGGTCTTGTAAGCAAATAGCCTAATCAGTTCACAGTTAGCCATTGTTATGAAAATGCCAGCCGAGAAGTACCAAGTGAGAGCAGGTCTGCGTGTGTCTTGCTGCGTTCCACCTCTGGGCAGCCGAACATTCTAGGCAGCAGAGCGTGTATCCGGACCGGTAAAAAGTGTGTGAAAATGAGTTCGTTTTGCGTCGCCTGGTGCCACAGTTCTGCCATATACAGTGGGGAGAACAAGTATTTGATACACTGCCGATTTTGCAGGTTTTCCTACTTACAAAGCATGTAGAGGTCTGTAATTTTTATCATAGGTACACTTCAACTGTGAGAGACAAAAATCCAGAAAATCACATTGTATGATTTTTCAGTAATTAATTTGCATTTTATTGCATGACATAAGTATTTGATACATCAGAAAAGCAGAACTTAATATTTGGTACAGAAACCTTTGTTTGCAATTACAGAGATCATACGTTTCCTGTTGGTCTTGACCAGGTTTGCACACACTGCAGCAGGGATTTTGGCCCACTCCTCCATACAGACCTTCTCCAGATCCTTCAGGTTTCGGGGCTGTCGCTGGGCAATACGGACTTTCAGCTCCCTCCAAAGATTTTCTATTGGGTTCAGGTCTGGAGACTGGCTAGGCCACTCCAGGACCTTGAGATGCTTTTTACGGAGCCACTCCTTAGTTGCCCTGGCTGTGTGTTTTTCGGGTCTTTGTCATGCTGGACTCAATGCTCTTACTGAGGGAAGGAGGTTGTTGGCCAAGATCTCGCGATACATGGCCCCATCCATCCTCCCCTCAATACGGTGCAGTCGTCCTGTCCCCTTTGCAGAAAAGCATCCCCAAAGAATGATGTTTCCACCTCCAGTTTAGACCAAAAAGCTCTATTTTTGTCTCATCAGACCACATGACCTTCTCCCATTCCTCCTCTGGATCATCCAGATGGTCATTGGCAAACTTCAGACGGAACATGCGCTGGCTGTAGCAGGGGGACCTTGCGTGCGCTGCAGGATTTAATCCATGACGGCGTAGTGTGTTACTAATGGTTTTCTTTGAGACTGTGGTCCCAGCTCTCTTCAGGTCATTGACCAGGTGCTGCCGTGTAGTTCTGGGCTGATCCCTCACCTTCCTCATGATCATTGATGCCCCACGAGGTGAGATCTTGCATGGAGCCCCAGACCGAGGTTGATTGCCGGTCATCTTTAACTTCTTCCATTTTCTAATAATTGCGCCAACAGTTGTTGCCTTCTCACCAAGCTGCTTGCCTATTGTCCTGTAGCCCATCCCAGCCTTGTGCAGGTCTACAATTTTATCCCTAATGTCCTTACACAGCTCTCTGGTCTTGGCCATTGTGGAGAGGTTGGAGTCTGTTTGGTTGAGTGTGTGGACAGGTGTCTTTTATACAGGTAACGAGTTCAAACAGGTGCAGTTAATACAGGTAATGAGTGGAGAACAGGAGGGCTTCTTAAAGAAAAACTAACAGGTCTGTGAGAGCTGGAATTCTTACTGGTTGGTAGGTGATCAAATACTTATGCATAAAATGCAAATTAATTACTTAAAAATCATACAATGTGATTTTCTGGATTTTTGTTTTAGATTCCGTCTCTCACAGTTGAAGTGTACCTACGATAAAAATTACAGACCTCTACATGCTTTGTAAGTAGGAAAACCTGCAAATCGGCAGTGTATCAAATACTTGTTCTCCCCACTGTATGCTGATATTCTGGCGAGAGTAAATAGCTGCATGTAACTCAGCAGCTAAGAAGAACACGACATCGCTAGACTCCCTGTTTGTACGAACATGTCAATAATGTATTTTGTGTAAAACATGTAAATAGCTGCATGTAGCCTACTCCCCTCCCCCCTGAAATCATGCTTATGCTTACTGAGGCATGGAATGCAATAGTTCTAACAGTTTTGTGTACAACATGAAGTTGGTAGGCTAACCTGTGACCAAAGGCGATCAATGAGGGGGAGCGGCAGCTGCGCACTCAGCAGAGCACTCCGCAGAGCAGCTACGTAGGCAGCGGAGTGGGCACTTGGCCACGTAAAAGAAAATCCTGCACATGCTCAGAAATATGTATTTTTAGCCTGGGCAAATTGGGATACAAAAACTCTGTATCCGTAGCCACTCCATTAACTAAAAGACATTCTCAATCCACATCCTACACTTAGCCAGCCGCTGTGGTTTGGGAGTAAATCTTTCCAGATTCTAGGTGGGGTTTGAGATTGGGCATGTAACCTCTATCAGGTCACTATTTACACTAGGTCAAAGCCTTGACTTGACTGAGTCCATACAAAAACCTCCTTCAGAACAACTGAGCCTGAACATTGTTCATCAGGATAATAACCAGGTTAGCTATGAACTAACTCCTATGGTTATCCTTTGATCTAAGCAAAACAGGCGTAAAAGCCACTGAATTGCCAGAACATAGCCTACTCGAACACAAATACGCCTAATGACATCAACAGCCGCTAGGTGAACATAAACACACACACCAGTTCCCACAGGAGCATGTGCATGGCAAAATATGCCTCCCCAAAATTGTAATGCAGTTTAATGCCTGGCCTAGCACAACACAAGGGGGTATGGAAAGGAAACACACCAATTGTAGCTTTCTGACATCAAACAGCATTCTAAAATGTACATATTCCTGTGAAGTATATTCTGACCTTCAGACACTAACATGAATGGCAGGACTATCAAGGTTAAGCTCCAATCAAGCAAAGACCCTAGCTTGAGACACTGCTCTGCTCGTCATCTGGGTAAGCCCAATACTCCAGCTAGCATCCTCCTGAGTCATGACAGTGTTTAGTATGCAGCAGACCTGACAACCCAGCACCTCTTCTGAATCTATTTATACAACACAATTTCTAATTGACTCCCTGAGCTGGGAGAACAGGAATTAATGTATTCTAATAAGGAAGAAGCGTTTGAATTAGGGCTGTCCCCAACTTAAACAAATCTTGGTAGATTGGTCAAAATGTTTAAGCATGCTTTTTTTCTTCATATATAGACACCCTATGTCAGCGTTTCCCAAAGCTTGATGATTAGTTGATTATTTGAATGAGCTGTGCAGTGCTACGGTAAAAGCATGCACCCTTTGGGGTACCGAGGGCCGAGTTTGGGAAACACTGCCCCATATGTTTAATAAAATCAACTATATGAAACAATTAAGAAACACAAATTACTCAAGAGGGAGCCAGAGATCAAGATAACCAGACAAAAAATAATAATAATGTTCATGACCCTTCTCCCGCTCCTCCTGACCTTCGCAGATCTGAAGTTGCTGCCGGTAATAGGCTACATCAGGTGTCGGCAACCTTTTCATGTGGAGTGCCAATTTACATCACCATTTATACCGATCTATGTGCCAGTTATGATTTTCATATGCACATTTTCATGGAAATTATTTGTTTTAAATCAATTGCCAACTAGGTAAAAATTGCCTGCATATAAAGCCAACAAATAAAAACATTGGAGAAAATATCCTGATAAAAATAAATATCCTATAAATCACATTGGCTACGCATGGAGGTTTGTTAATGTTCTTTCAATCGCATTCATCTCTCTACTCCGCCTGTCTGCAACGAACTTGAAACACATCAACTATCAACTGGGTCTGGCCAGCAGCGCTATAGCTAACTTGCAACATTGTATTAACTATTCAGGGCCCTCAGTTTCCCACGCCAGTGAGCTCCAGACAGACAGCTGTACTTGCGCAAGGGATAAGAAGTTATCAGGTATTTTATGAAGCTTCCACTGGATTAGAGCATGACATTTTTACATTTCACACCAAGGCTCATTAATTATTGAAAGGGAGAGCTGGAAAGATTTTTCAAATACATTGAGGAACTATTGTCATTCTCAATAGATTTAAAAACAGACTGTTTACTTGCTGTTTGAGGTGAAGAAACAATTACTTTGAGAAGCGCCACAGCTCATTCGTGATGGTGAGTTAAAACTAATCAGACATCCCCCAAATGGGCACATTTATACATTAGTGCACAGGACAGGTAGCCTAGGCCTACTTCTATCAGTGTTTTCCATTGGCATTTTCCACTTCATAATAACTAGGCTACCTTCAATTTAAAAAAGTTTCAATTCGCTAGTCCAGGGGTACTCATTACTATGTGAGAAGGTCCAGTGACACACATTTCCTAGGTAGCAAAGGTCCAGATGGATATCGTCCTTTATCGGCGCTGTGGTACAGCGTAGTAACAAACATAGTCGTCTACGACTTAGGAAACGTGGTTATATAAAATGTGCATTAAAATACATTACATTTGAATTAGGAATTTGAATTAATTACTACTTATTTTGAATGTAAACGTGCAACATTGCATAAACATTGCTGAAGAACAAAAGTGGTTGCATAAATGTCTGTGCAAAAAGTGCACTGTGAACCATTGTACATGGGCCTTGAATAAAAAAAAAAATATTTAAATAAAATAAAGTGCATGTTTTGTGGAGAACAAAGGAGAGTTGAACAAAAATAATAATCTGAATGCACAGAACGTCATTGTGAGCCATGCAATATTCATGTAAAGTCAATCTGGGCCTTGCCCTGCATTAATGAGAGAAATTACACTCTCCTGCCAATGCTTTGAACTTTGGCACAAATTGTGTGAGAGCAACTCTGAGACACTGGTGCAGGTGTTCATTGCTGAGCCTGGTGCAGTATTTGTTTTTAATAAAGGTAATTGTGGAGAAGGCTGATTCACAGCTGTATGTGGAGCCAAACATGGTCAGGATGTATAGTGCCAGTCTCTTGAGAACAGGGAAATCAGCTGTAGGCACCATCTTTCCCCAGAAAGTGATAGGGTCACAATCACCAGCCTGCTCCTTCAAAGCCCTATTTTCTTGCAGCTCAATCAACTCCATTTGCAGTGATGCAACATCTACCCATTTGAAGATCTGTTTTGCTTCTGACAACTTTGTCACCAAGAAGGGGTTCCGGACGAGCAGCAGCAGTTCTCTTCCAACAGTGAAGTTATCAAAGCAAGCCTCGAAGTTATCCATCAGCTTCTGGATGAGATCAACATGGCCTCATGGATATCCTCTCCCTGTGTGTGCGCTTCTAGATTTGTTAAGCCCAACAGCTCCTCACAGAATTCCATCTTAGTT